AGCGCCGAGGGCGGGTCTGGGAGCGTTTCGCCGCCCGGGGCGCCCTGCCCGGAGGAGACCATTTGCAGGAATGGTTTCCGCGCTTTCTCTCCTCTCCTAATCGTGCAAACAAAGCTGCTCATTGCCGACGGCTAGGGACGCGGGTGAGTGACAGGAAAGTAAAAGGAACTGCAATCTGGCGATGTTTTCGTCGGGAGGCTTCCTGATATTGAAAATTTTACGCATTGTTACGCAAACTCATAAACATATATTATGAAATGGGATCCTACTATTGCTTTTAAAAACTAATTCTGTAAAACAATGCTGTGATGAAATATACATAGCATTGACCAAATGATACATAAATATTTACTATTTTAACCATTGTAAAGTGTATAGTTCAGTGTCATTATGTACATTCATACTGTTGCTTATAGGAAAATTATAGTATCTTTCATTTGTGGAATGCGTTTGTTCATATGCTGGTTAATTTTGGTGCTAGCATTATGATACCACGAAAACATGTTTCCAAGTAGAATTAAAAGAAAACATTTTTTAAAAATATATTTTATTGATTTTTTCACAGAGAGGAAGGGAGAGAGATAGTTAGAAACATCGATGAGAGAGAAACATCGATCAGCTGCCTCCTGCACATCCCCCACTGGGGATGTGCCCGCAACCCAGGTACATGCCCTTGACCGGAATCGAACCTGGGACCCCTCAGTCTGCAGGCTGATGCTCTATCCACTGAGCCAAACCGGTTTCGGCAAAGAAAACATTTTGTTTGCTATTTATTTTCCCATAGTACACAGTGCAAGAGACTTAAATGCTGTATTCACTGCTGTGACCTTAGTGTCTGATACATACTACTTGCTCATTAAATTTTATTAAATTAATGAAAGAATGTATCCCCATCAGAATAAGAATGGTCAGAATTTAATGTCCTTGATTGCTGAGTTAATCCTAAGTTCAGGGTGAGGCAAAAGTAGATTTACAGTTGTATGAGGAATAGTTTCTTCTTTTTTTTAAAAAATATATTTTATTGATTTTTTACAGAGAGGAAGGGAGAGGGATAGAGAGTTAGAAACATCGATGAGAGAGAAACATGGATCAGCTGCCACCTGCACATCCCCCACTGGGGATGTGCCCTCAACCGAGGTACATGCCCTTGACCGGAATCGAACCCGGGACCCTTGAGTCTGCAGGCCGATGCTCTATCCACTGAGCCAAGCCGGTCAGGGTGGAATAGTTTCTTCTTCTTTTTTTTTTTTTTTTTTTACCATGCAACAAAACTTTTATTAACATTTTGAACAGATTCAGTCATTACTAAACTGGTAATTTCTAAACTTAAATTGGGGAAACAGTTTATTCTTGTATTATTATTATTTATTACATTATTTTACATATAAGTATAAATCTACTTTTGTCCCACCCTGTGTTTAAGATATAAATCAGAAAAAAAAATACAGTAACAACTCAAACTTCTTCAGTTTGAAACATTTAAATTTTGAGTAATTAGAGACTTACAGAAGGTTGCAGGACTATACAGAGTTCCCTTATCTTCTTTACCCAGTTTGCTGTAAGTTAATATCCTGCATAATCATACTACAATCATCAAAATTAAGAAATTTACAGTGGTGCAATACGGTTAATGAAGCTGACTACTTTAATCAGAATTCATCAGGTTCTGACTATTGACCCTTTGTGTTCCAGGATGCAGTCTGCAATCCCTCATGCAGGTGTCATGTCTACTTCTCCTTCAAACTGGCAGGTCCTCCGAAGTCTCTCAGTCATTCCTTGTTGTTTTTTTTCTAACATTGATATTTTGAAGTATTTCGTATTTATATTTTTAGAATGATCATCAATTTGCTTTTGTTATATGTTTTCTCCTTTTTTGAGAATGATGTTGATGTGTCTTATTACTGGTGATATTAATCTAACCCTGTGGTGTCTGCCAGATTTTACCTCTGTAAAGATAGTATCTTTCCCTTTGTAATTAGTATTTTGAGAAATATACATATACATATACATACATATATACATATACATATACATATATATACACACACACACATATATATATATTTACACACTAGAGGCCCGATGCACAAAAATTCATGCAAGAGTAGGCCTGTCTTCCCCCAGCTGCAGGCACCGGCTTCCCTCCAGCACCCGGAATCCAGGCTTCCCTCCTCCGGCCACCCGCAGGCACCCGGGACCTGGGTTGCTTCCCTCCACGGATGCCCATAGGCACCCGGGACCCAGGCTGGCTTCCCTCCAGCCCTGGCTTCGTCAGGAAGGATGTCTGGAATGATGTCCGGAAAGACATCCGGTCTAATTAGCATATTAACCTTTTATGTACTAGTAGCCCTGCACATGAATCCGTGTGCCAGTAGCTCGCTGCTGCCCTCCTGTAGCTCCCTCCGCCCTTCCTCCCCCCCCTCATAGCTTGCTGCCCTGCCCCCTCCTGTAGCTCTCCAACCCGCTTGTAGCTCGCTGCCCCACCCTCCTGCTGATCCGTGATCCGGTTGTTAAGCGGTCGGTTGTAACATAATGACCATTTGCATGTTACATCTTTATTATATAATAGGATACACACACACACACACACACACACACACATATTTGTTGTTAATTCTCACCCAAGGATATTTTTTCCCATTGATTTTTAGAGAAAGTGGAAGGAAGGGAGGCGGGGGCTGAGGGGTGGGAAGAAACATTGATGTGAGAGAGACCCATCAACTGGCCCCCTCCCTCACCCGCCTCATTGGCCCAGGATGGGGATCAGACCTGCAACCCAGGTGCGACCCTTTGTGCACAGGCTGGTGCTCTAACCACTGAGCACACTGGCCAAATCTCAAAGTGAAGATACTTTATTTTGCATAGAAATATCCTCTTTGTCCCTACCTTTCACCAGTCAATTAGCATTCTTTGGTGGATCTTGCCTGCAGTGATGATTTCTGTAATGGTTTAATGGTGACTTTGATTTCTGTTATTCCTTCTACATTTATTAACTGGAATTCTTTGTGAGGAAGGATTGTGCCTTCATCCCCTTTTGTTTATTTGTTCAATGAAGTTATATCATTGTGTGACATTAGATGTGTAATTTTTTCTTTGGCTTATAGTGCAGCGCTGTTGTTCATTTTGTTTTCTAATCTGTTCCCACTTTGGCCATTGAGAGCTCTTTCAAGTTGCCTGTTTCTCCCCTGAGGTGTCCCCATCCTTTTCTATGTCTGCCTGATTTTCTGGCATCACAAACCACTCAACTTGTATCTTCTTTACTGTGGCCTGGAATCAAACACTTTCCCCCAAGGACTCTGGTTCTGTTTATTAGAGAAAGAATGGTCAAGTTTGGGGAAGTAGGTTTGAGCATCTTTCTTCCTTTCTTTTTTCATTTTAAAATGTTTTTATTGGTTTTAGAGAACGAGGAGGTGAGAGGGAGAGAGAGCAATAGAAACATCAATGATGAGAGAGAATCATTGATCGGCTGCTTCCTGCATGCTCCCCACTGGGGATTGAACCCACAACCCAGGCCTGTGCCCTGACCGGGAATCGAACCCTGACCTCCTGGTTCATAAGTCAACACTCAACCACTGAGCCACCCTGGATAGGCTTTCTTAATTTTTATACACGTGCAGTATTAGCTCTTACCAGTCCAGTGCTCCTGGGTCTATAGGATTCCCACTCCTAGAGCTTTGCTCTCCCCTTCTGGCCTTTGTCTCAGCATTTCTGAACCCATGGCTTTTCAAAATCTTGTCATTGTCCTGTCATACCAGAATCGCTTCTTTTTGTTACTTTTTTCTAATCATACCCTCATAATGTAAATCTCCCTTCAACTATCATTTTTGCCTGCACTATTTCTCATATTTGATTGGATGTATTTGCTCTCATTCTCTCTCCCCAACATCTTTGCTGAGAGTCATGGAATCATATAATGTCAAGGTTGGAAAAGATCTTTAGATTTTATTTCCTAAGGATACATAGCATCTGAGTGACCTCTGGAAGATCAGACATGCTTTACATCTGATCTCTTACCTTTTAATAACTCTGCTCACTCAACTGTGCTGACTCAACATCTCTTTGTCCTGATGGCTCTTCATCTACTCTCCACTGAACTTCTCCTCCTTCTTTGTCTCTCTTTTCATGAAGAAAAATTTGAGCTATTTCTGATTTTCTCTCTTATTCTCAATGTGTCACCTCATTCCTTGTCCATATGTGAAGGCTTTTTTAGGTACATAGACTCCTGATGATTCTGTTTCCTCAATAGGATGAGAAATGAGTAAAAGCTTTCTTCTTCTTTCTTTTGGGATCAGTTGAGACTCGGATGGAAAATTCAGAGTTGCCTCCAAAGCAGGAAATTTCTGAAGAAACAGAGTCATCTGATGGGACATCAGGAGGCCTGCATGGGGTGGTACCTGAGGGACCAGAAGCTGGAAATGCCTGTGAAGATGCTTTAATGAAGCTAGAAGCACAACCCTCAGAGGAGGAAGGGAGCAGACTGGAAAGTGATTTCTTGGAAAGAACATGTGAGGATAAAAACAAATCTACAGAAGATGGATGTGATGAGTATAAGGATCTTGGGGAACATAAGAATCTGTCCTGTAGTCCTACAGAATATCAAGTTTTGAAGGCACAGAAATTATATCAATGTGATGAATGTGGCAAAGCTTTCAATTGGAGTTCACACCTCATTGGCCATCAGCGAATCCACACTGGAGAGAAACCCTATGAGTGTAATGAGTGTGGCAAGGCCTTCAGGCAAACTTCTCAGCTCACGGCTCATCTCAGAACCCACACAGGGGAAAAGCCCTATGAATGCAGCAAGTGTGGAAAGACCTATCGACACAGCTCCCATCTCATTCAACATCAGAGACTCCATGATGGGGAGAAACCATATAAATGTAATGAATGTGGAAAAGCTTTCAATGAGAGTTACAAACTCTATGACCACCAGAGAACCCATACTGGGGAGAAGCCTTATGAATGCAATGAATGTGGAGCAACCTTTACTCGGAATAAAAATCTTCTCCGACATCAGGTACTTCACACTGGGAAGAAACCCTTCAAGTGTAACGAGTGTGGGAAAGCTTTCTGTTCTAATAGAGATCTTATTGACCATCAGAGAATTCACACTGGGGAGAAGCCTTATGAGTGCAATGAGTGTGACAAGGCCTTCACTCGGAATAAAAGTCTGATTCGACATCAGCGACTCCACACTGGAGAAAAACCATACAAATGCAGGGAGTGTGGGAAAGGCTTTAATCAGAACTCTCACCTTGCTGACCATGAGCGAATTCACACTGGAGAAAAACCTTTTGCATGTAATGAGTGTGGTAAGGCATTCAGCCTGAGTAAATGTCTGATTCGACATCAGAGACTTCACACAGGTGAAAAGCCCTATAAATGCAATGAGTGTGGAAAATCCTTCAATCAAAATTCATACCTCATTATACATCAGAGAATTCACACTGGGGAGAAACCTTATGAATGTAATAAATGTGGGAAGATCTTTAGTCATAATTCTAGCCTTATGGTACATCAAAGAACCCATACTGGGGAGAAACCCTATAAATGTGATGATTGTGGGAAAACCTTTAGTGACAGCTCACAGCTCACTGTGCACCAGAGAGTTCACACTGGCGAGAAACCCTATGAATGTATTGAGTGTGGAAAAGCGTTCAGCCAGCGTTCCACTTTTAATCACCACCAGCGAACTCATACTAGAAAGAAGCTCTCAGGTCTGGCTCAGTTTCATAAGGTGTAAGTTTCCAAGGTAGCCAGGAACATTGAATTAAGCTTTCTGTATAAGAAGGATGCTTATCCTTACCCTTTCTTGAAACCACTAATCAAAGTGGACCATTCCCTACATGCTGTCTGCTAGGTCATGAAGGTGGAGAGTGGGAGGAACAGTGCAGTCCTTCCCCACTATTGGGGAAGTGTGGACTACACGTTTACTGTACTTGCAGGGTTTTTATTTTATTTTATTTTCTGTTTATAAATGTATGTCATTTTTTTTTGACATGCATCCTGTAATCAGATTGTGTACTTCTCAGGGACAGAGGTTAAATCTTCTTTATTCTATTCTACTTTCATTTCCCAATTTACATAAAGTCATTCTCTAAGACTGATTCACTCCTTTCTCCATTTCTAATTTTTATGAGTTTATTTGAGCCAAACTGACATGACTGAAGTAAGATGCAAATGCCCCTCTCTTTTTTTTCTCTTTGCTGTAGCTCTTTTAAAATTCATCACTAGTTAAAAAATAATTTTTAAAATCTCAGCTCTCTAATTGCACCCTTCTTAAAGTGGGCATGAACTTTCCTCCCACCATTGGACCAACATTTTATAGGATATCACATGCAAAAAGCTCATTTATATGTTCTACATGTGCCCCTGTTTTTTAATTTTTATTTTTAATTTCATAAAAATTTATTTGAACCAGAATTTTGAGGACATGCTTGGAACCCCTGAGAGTCTTACTACTATTTTCTCAGCCTCAAAGAGCTAATGGATTTCTGCTTGAGTGTGCCGTGTGTGTGTGTGTGTGTGTGTGTGTGTGTGTGTGTCTAGGTTTTGGAGTCTACTGATGCGTACTTTTTCCTGCACACTGACTCCAGTTCTGACCTACCTGGCTCCACCTGTTGCCTAAATAAACAAGTTAAGAACTGCTTCAAAACTTACTGCAGGAAGACCTAACTTTCCTGGCTTTGGCAAAGATGATTCTAAATCCCAATTAGAAGCATTCTTGAAAGCTTGTAATTCATAGTGATCTAGTTTGTTGCAGATAATAGAGTTAAACGAATCTGATTTCCTTATCAACTAGTTCTGTCTTTTCCAACTGTCATCTAATTTCAAGCTGAGAAGTGTTTCCTTAATTATTGTTATTATCTTCTGGACCATCTTACATTCCCAAGGGCAAAAGAAACAGGAAATCTTTTCAGAGGATATTCTCTCCCTTTATAGTCGTATATAAGACATAACCTTGAGCAACTTTTTTCTTCCTTGGGGCAGGGCCCCACTACTGGGGGACCTTTGTATCATGTGTTCACCCCCTTCCTCTTAGCAGGAAAACAGGATTGACAGTGTGACAAAGGAGGAGAAGGAAGTTAGAGGTACAATGTTAGGTATGTAGCCTAGAGGGAAGAGGTTTTTGTGAGCTCCGATTTATGTCTCAGAGACAATGGAGAAGAAAGGGAAGAGAGTTGAAGCTCAAGAAAATAAGAATTAAATGTGATTCTGCGCCGAAACCGGTTTGGCTCAGTGGATAGAGCGTCGGCCTGTGGACTGAAGGGTCCCAGGTTCGATTCCAGTCAAGGGCATGTACCTGGGTTGCGGGCACATCCCCAGTGGGGGATGTGCAGGAGGCAGCTGGTCGATGTTTCTAGCTCTCTATCTCTCTCCCTTCCTCTCTGTGAAAAATCAATGAAATATACTTTTAAAAAAATGTGATTCTGGGGGAGGTATCTCAGATAAGGTTAGAAAGAATGTTTATTGGGGGCTTTTAAAAAAGAGAAATGTGAAACTAGCTTATTTGGCATGCTAAATTACATGGGAAGCATTGTCTAAAAAATGATAATAAGCCTTAGGTTATATGTGTATGGATAAATGTTACTAATATAGGTAATCTTTTAATTGAAGTTCATATAAATTTGTCAATATTGTCATTGTCTAGTTGTTAATTTATTGTATGCCACAAAATAATTAAATTTTCTTATAAATGAACTCATAGTTTTAACCATGTCCATTTTTGAAAGTCTTTTAGTCATTTACAAACAATTACTATTTACTCTGGTTCTTTTGCAAAAGTGCTTAATCTTCAGAGAGATTAATGAAAAGGACTCTGATAGTCTAGAATACAGGTTTCTGATTACTTTCAGATCACTTTAACTAAACTGGGTAAGAATTTCCAGAACTCTAATGGAAAAATCAGATTCAAGCAGAATAAGAATAAAGAACATAAGATTAAATGAACTGATAAGAATGATTGCAATTTTTATGACTTTTTGTTTGAAACATGCAAGTTCTTTAATGTTTTGTTTTTTAGATTCAAGAAAATCTTTTTCTTTTTTCTCTTAAGCTATAAATGAATTTGGTAAATTATATCTTTGAAAATAGAACTAAAACATTTATGTTTTTGCCCTGGCCAGTGTAGCTCAGTTGATTGAGCATCATCCTGTGCACAGAAAGGTTGCTGGTTCGATTCCTGGTCAGGGCACATGCCCAGGTTGTGGGTTCAATTCCTGGTTGGGGTATGTGCAGGAGGCAACTAATCGATGTTTCTCTCTCACATCGATGTTTCTTTCTTTCCCTCTCTATTCCTCTCTCTCTAAAATCAATTTAAAAACATAAAAACAATTTTATGTTGCCCGGCTGGTGTATCTCAGTGATTGAGCGTTGACCTATGAACCAGGAGGTCATGGTTTGATTTCTGGTCAGGGCACATGCCCGGGTTGTAGGCTCGATCCCCAGTATGGGGCATGCAGGAAGCAGCCAATCAATGATTCTCTCTCATCATTGATGTTTCTCTCTCTCTCTCCCTCTTCCTTCCTTTATAAAAAATAATAAAATAAAACCTGCAAGTTTAATGAGTTTCACAATCAGACAAGAATAGCTTAAACATGATGGTAACTAAGAGTGAAACTAATATCGAGTTTTTGGTCACTCTCTGATGTATGAGAAGATAACAAAAAGGGGAGAATTGTCAAAGTAATGACAGAGGTCATTAGACTGAGGTGGTGCTAATACTTTGGTGGCTTACCTAAGCAAATTGAAAGCTAAGCTAAAGTCAATTCCTGTGAATGCCTCCAGGTTAAGAAAAACAATCAGAACAGCCAACTGGGCTTTCCCAAATAATGTAACCATGCTCAGGCGACATGGCTCAGTGGTTAAGCGTTGACCTATGAACCAGGAGGTCACAGTTTGATTCCCGGCCAGGGCACATGCCCGGCTTGCTAACTCGATCCCCAGTAGGGGGCGTGCAGGAGGCAGCCAATCAATGATTCTCATCATCGATGTTTCTATTTCTCCCTCTCCTTTCCTCTCTGAAACCAATAAAAATATTTTTTAAAATAATGCAACCTACTTAAGCTATAGCCAATCGAATAATTTGCCTTGCTTCCTCACTTCTATAAAAACCTTGTCCCTAGCTTCTGTTGATGGTGTTCCTAACCAATTCCAGTTTGGCACTACCTGACTTGAATTGATGTTTGCTCAATTAAATATATAAACTCAAAAAATTAAATGTGCCTCGATTGTTCTTTCAATAGTACATAGTGTTGGTGGTATTAAAGGGACATGGAAGCCATCATGTCATCATGTACTATATACACTTTGTATTTTAGTGAGAAATCTGGTACTTGGAGAATGGCATGAATACTCAATTTGGACATGTAAAGGTAAGAATCAGAATTGGTCCCTTCAGTCCAGGATCTCTCAAGTCAGCAAAGGACATAAGGTCTATAAAAACATGCCTGGTACAGGATGAACGTACGAAGTGTCACATGTTCTCATACTCTCTGGGACTCCGATAGGTAAAGGGATAGCAAATAAATGACCTTTTTGCTACTATTCTCTTACTTTCTGAAATGGCTGTCATCAGAATCAAGGCTCATACCAAGTGGATTGAAACTGAGCATCAGGAAAATGCCTTGGCTGATTTTCATGCACAGGCGGCAGCAGTAGCAGCAGAAACTGTAAGGGTTGTGGCATATGGAAATGAAGTCCTTTCTGCTTTTGAAAAAATGATCCCTTGTTGTCCAACTTTGCCTTTTGTCATCCTGAGGTCCTTGCAACACAGCAACAGTCATCTCCTGAATCAGAGAAATCAATAGGCAAACTGGTTGTAAATTTAGTCAGGGCTATGGGAAATTAAATATGGCCGCTTGGTTCTTCCAAGCTTCCCAGCAAACCCCATCCACTGGTTTTTCCATTCATTAACCCACAATGGTGCAGCTAAGATGTCTCAAATAATAAGTAAATATTCGTGTGGAGACTGCTATAAAATTGTGAAAAACGATGGCCAACTTTCATGTTCATAATCCAGAGCCTCAAACCTCCTCCCAATGGACCATTTGAGTACCTGCAACTGGACATCATTTCATCTGCCTCCTAGTATGGGTCACCAATATATTCTTTATTTTTTCTGGATCTGTGAAGCCTCCTTCCCTTGCGCAAGACTGACCCCCCACAGTGGCAAAGAAACTGTTGAAAAATGTGTTTCCCACTTGGGGTTTACCCTCCACAATATCTAGTGACTGAAGCACCCACTTCACTGGGAGAATCATAGGAGCTTTAACTAAAACCTATCACTACAAAGTTCTTGTAATCATCCCTGCTCCTTCTCACCTTCAATCATCAGGCAAGGTTGTAAGAACAAAGGGAATTCTTAAACTCGAAATCTCTAAACTCACTGAAACTACTGAACTTCCTTGGCCTCAGGTATTATCTCTGGCCTTTCTGACTGTTAGAGAGCAAGATCTAAATTTTAGCCTGGCTGGCATGGGTCGGTGGTTGAGTGTCTACCTATGAACCAGGAGGTTGCTGGTTGGATTCCTGGTCAGGGCACATGCCTAGGTCGCAGGCTCGATCCGCAGTAGGGGGCGTGCAGGAAGCAGCCAATCAGTGATTCTCTCTCATCATTGATGTTTCTATTTCTCTCACCCTCTCCCTTCATCTCTGAAATCAATAAAAGTATATTTAAAACAAAAATATTTAAATTTAAAAATTTGTGATTCATAAATTGGACAGCTTCCAGGCTAGTTGATAGGAGCTCTGAAACGTATGAGGCAAAGGATTCTATAGGCAGAAGGGAGCAGAACCAAGGAAGTTATACTAGGCAGAAAGGTGGAGTGATTATTGCAAGCTTCCTTTCCCATATCAGATGGATGGCAGGTATTTATCGGGCTGATTACCTAACTAATGCTGACCAGGAAATTCCTGATTGATTTACGATTTCCTTTTGGGGAGACCCAGAACTGTAAGTTAAGTGTCTATTTGGTGACAATGGGCTTATCTTCAGCAACTCCATTTGGTGTCTATTGTCTTGTCTTTAAGAAGTTACTCAAGAACTTCCTGATCAGCATTAATTAATTAACCCCTGCTGTCCCCTATAAGATTTTAAAAATTTACTCAGTTGAGTTTTGTTCTTTAACAGGAGAAAACAGCTGGAGGCGTGGGAAGGTAAGTTTTGCGTGCCTGTGGCTGGGAATAAAAAAGCACTTCTACCCCCGCTTGTGGTGGTGACGGGGGAAGAGGCTAGTCCTGGAAACTAGCGTCTGGTTCCCCTCATTGAAGGCGGCCCCAGGGTGTAATGAGTGATCCCTTATCTCCTTCCTGCCAGGACCCGTCCGTGTCAGCGGTCAGCTAGATCTCTCTGGTCCCTATTTTGACCCCTAGCTTTGGATCCTATTATTCCCCGGGGGAGGGGGGAGGCGGGAGGTAAGAGGCCCCAAGGGAAGCCCTGCACATACACTGGGAGGGGAGTGTGTCTTAGTAACAAATTAATTTATAGAAAATTATTTTTTTGTGTGAAATACTTGTGTGGAATATTAAAGAGTAATATTAAAGAGCACAGGGAATGACCGCTCTGGCCAAGCCCTAGCTGCACCATACAGATAAGACCATAGCTGAATGCTGCCCTTAGGAATGACGTATGTAAATCAGACACCTTCTGGTTGACGCTGTAGTGGATAACCAGGTACTCTGATTCGCACTTGTGTGATGACGTATGTTACTGATAGCCACCGGGACTGCTGTGGGCCAGAACAGGCTGAAAAAACGGGTCCCCGACTTCAGACATCGATCGTCCTCTTGCTCCACGCTCCACGCCGCCTTGCTCCACGCCGGAGGGCAGAAGAACGGCCGAGCCTCCGATCGGGAGACAGAGTGGGAACACGGGCCAAGGCTGATAGAGCTGTGGGCCCGGATGGCACGGGGGAGTGGAGGGCAGGCGTGGTGCGGGGGTAGTGGCGAGTGTTGGGGATGAGCCCCGCCCCATCCCCCATGACTTAGACCGTGGCGGGCCAGCGCTGCACTGGAACCGGGAGAAGCCGAGACGTTGGCCCTCCAGGTTCCTAGAGAGGCCGCCGAGGCCCGAGGCTGTGACGCGCTTGCGCGAGCAGATGGGCGGTGAGACCCGCACTGGGCGTGCACTGC